AATTGCAAAGGTTTAACCCTGGTGCATGGTAGGCATTAAACTTAGATGGACATTTCGGGAGACATATTTGAAACTCCTTTTCAAGAAGACTTCGTGGATTTGAGTGTAGCAGGCAAAGCGAGCTCTTGTTTTACCATTCTTTGTCTTTTTTAAAACGGGGTGTTTGAAGTGATTTAGGCATTGAATGTGCACCTCATCGCAAAATAGCAGCGAACATCCATGACATTGTCTTATTGTCATTTCTAGCGCTATTTAATGACAATGTGATTTGAGATATGCACGTGTCCTACCCATGCCCGTACTTCGAAAATGGCTGGACTCAGTTAACATTCAGTGATCGCTTATACAATCTGCAATAATTAACAGGTTTTTATGATTCATATTAACACTCAACTACAGAGCTTTTCACCTCCTTTGATTTTAATTCAAAGGAGACATGACAGCACGTCATATATGTTGTAATGATGTTATGCGTGCTTTTCTGAAAACATCTGTTTGGTGTATATTATCTCCACAAGACAATAATGACTGGTTTCACTACTGCTTTTGTAGGCGCATTTCTATTTTTCTCAGTTGTCTGACTAGTTGGGTGATAACAAAACAACTATGGCTCAGTCAATCCCAAGCCTGCCCCCTTCCACCAACCCCCAACCCCTCCCCCAGGCATTTATAGGGCATTTGTAATCTTGTCAGTCCTGGTGGAGGGGAAGGAGTCAGAAAACCTCTGCCGGGGGTGAGCATTTGTCTATTCTTCTAGAAACAGTTAACGCTCGTTCCTTTTTTGATATTTCACTTAAAATATGCCTATTTAGAGCGGTATCGACATTTTCTATAAACTGGTTCAGAAAGAAATCGGTGTTTCTATCTGTCTTGGAAATTGCTTCCGCATTGCATCAATTCATTGGCTGAAAAATGATCAATACATCTTTTGAAGAGTGTAAAGGAAAAGAAGTTTCTTCGAGAGCGAATGGTAGAGGCAGAAAGGCCTATAAAGACTCTGCAACATATTTGAAAGCTATTTGTGTATTGTACAATCATGAATGCGACAACAAGTGCATTGACAAACGACTCCATCGTGATGAAAAATACTCACATTAAACTGTCCGTTGTTTGTTTATCATTCGAAAATAGAAAGGTATTATTAAAATCCAAGTTTGTAGTTCTGTCACTGGTATTAATCAGATCAATGTGATTTTTTTTTCAGTAATAATTTTATTATAAATAAAGTTTAGAGCAATTTGCATAGGGTGCTTCATGTGTTTGATCAGATTAGTACAGATTTGCTATAAATATGGCATATAGCTTATTTACAGGAAAATGAAATTTTTGGTCTTTCCTGGGTGGGGCATTTGCACACTGTTTTATGCCCTTACCATGGGTTTCTTGTATGAACCGCTGGGGCCATCATGGGCAGTTGCTGTTGTTCCAAAACAAAATAACAAAATGCCCAGCAAATGTCTGGGGGGGTGGATGGACACGCTTAGAATGAACTGAGCCATTAGACCCTTTGCCTGCAAGAGTTAGAACCAGTTTTATAAAGGATGTGGCTTTTAAAACTATTTATCTATATGTACGTTTTTGTATATTGTCAATCACTTTCCCTTTGTGTACTTTCCAGTTTCTATGATGAGGATGAGGATCTGCTTACACAAACTCAGAATTGGAAGTCAAATTTGGCAAAACTCTAATCACAGGGAACAAAAAGCTTGTTGAAATGGTGGGCATCTATTTCTCTTCATTTACCTGATTAGGTTTCATGATTGCACCAGTCAATAGGTCTTTTTGAAATGGACCATCATACTTTTAATGTGCAGGTGTAGTCTCATATTCGGGAGAATCTTTGCGTGCTGCATGTGCTAAAGCATCAAGTTTCAACAATTTGCATAGTGCTACATTTTGCATAGACACAACTTAGGGAGTAAACCTTGACCTAAATGCAGTTCCATTCCCCAAGTGTTCTTTCCTTTAGAGGCTTACTTTACAGATGTTTCAAATTGCAACTAAGTTGAAAGGTTCCCAAAACTGTTTTCAAGCAAAAACTGCTCACACGCACTCTGAATTCCATCGTTCAGTTTTCAACAAATAACCTTGAAATGTACCAGGCTAAACCTACAGATTAAAGAGTATTTTTTTTAGAAAGGCTTATTAGTATGGTTTTGGCTGGCATTTTATGTTCTTTGAGTAAAAGAATTGATACTTGTATTATTCCAACTATGTCAGTGGCCTAAAATCCTAAATTCTAAATGCTTTGATTACAGAAAAGTCTTTACCTACCTGCAGGATAGCCTGTTTGCAACCCTAAAATGGGATGTAGTCCATCTGAGCTATGCCTCCGAAAAGCTTGTTATGATATCCACAGTTTTGCAAAGATATGTGTCTGGTTGTGATTGGCTTGATTACTTATACACCTTGTGATTGGACATTTTCTTATGCAACACCCACAACCTCCACAGTGTAACAATGCTTTATTTTTGTATGTTCTGTGAAAGTGCGATAATAGACTTTACAACCAGTTATCTTCCCTATTTTTTAAAAGATCAGATAACCACGTCGCACCACAATTATCTACATGTATTTTTTTAAGCGATCAGATATCCACGTTTGAAACACCAGGTTTTGCAATAACCTAAATCTATCCACATATATAGAACAACCAGTGGTCAGTGCCCTTTTACATATAAAACACTTAAGATATGAAATTCGCTAGACTATAATCTCAAAGAGGAAAATCTTAGTAAATTCAAGAAAGGCATCAGACTAGCTTACCTAGCCACTGGAAGCACTAGAAAACACCTGCTACGCTGACATTATATCAATTTCATTATTATATTTATCACTTTATAGCTCGTCAAATCTCAATAATTAATATTTGTATTGGTTGTAAATAGTCGTTGAAAAGCCTTTTTGAGAAATTCATGTGTATGTGTTTATGGATATATGTATGTGGGTAAAAGTCAGAGAAATTTGCTATGCATTTTTAAAACCATGAGTTTGGTGAAATTTAGCCATCTTGTTATAACAAATAAGACTTATGAAAGGATTATTGCTCATGAAGGACTGAAAACAACTCAAGGTAATTGACAGAAAAAAATTTGCATTGGGTGAAAACAAATAACATGTTGGCAGGTCTGTAGAAACTGTGTTGTTAAGCTAAAGGGACAATAAGGACTTATCGAGCAAAATGATAAAAAAAAAATATTAGAGTCCGAACTAAATTGTATTGAATCAAACCAAAGCACTCCACAGAACTAAAAATGAGCACATGATCGTCGTTTTGGACTGCCTTGATGAGTTAGTGTTTTTAGTAGTTAGTCATATGTAGCCCAGGTAGCTGTGATGTGGATATTAACCCTCTGACGTACACGCAAAATTCATACCCCCACCGTCGTACAAGTGGAAGGGAGGGGGGGGGGTGGAACCCCTCCCCAGAGTTTTTGATATATTGCAATATTTCGAAACAATTTTATCTTTAGTGGAAAGCATTTGATCTTCTTAAAAGGTTGAGATATATTTTATGGGTGGTGGCGCCGCTGGAGACCTGTGACGTCACCAACAATGGTCGCCATCTTGGATTTTACCAAGAATTAGAAATCAGGTTAAAACTGCTATAAATGGTATTTTTTTTAGCTTTACATGAAAAATAACACATAAATAAGCATTTTACTTGATTTTAGCCACAAGATTTACTTTTATTGTTGAAAGAAGTTGAAAAAACATAAATTTGTACCCAAAAATGGCTTGAGCACCTACTACTTATGACGTCGTATCTCGTGACCATAGCAACTGGCCATCACTGAACCTGTCTCAAAATGTGCGCGAGGGATGAACAAACAGCTACTGAAAACATCAGGTGCTGATGTTTTATCCTCTAGGAAAAAACTCAGAAAAACCTTACGGGTGGTGGATGCCACCCCCCCATAAGGTTTTGTACGTCACCTGGTCTTCTGTAAGCTCCTGCAGCAGTGATAAAAGTGATCTGCCATGATTGGAAAACACTGGATAATCAAAGATTTAAAAAATTCAGAAATAATATGGTTAGACCTACAGGAAATTCCCATAGCGAGTTCAGGTGGAGAAGATTATCGATACCCGGTAATGGGTTTCTGTCAATTTTCATGCTCTTATTTACTGCTTTGAGGCTCTTCCACCGAGGGCAACACGCACCATAGGACAAATAGGAGAATAACAAGTTAACACAAGCAAGCCTCAAGCCTTCCCTAGGGTGACCTGAACTAATTTTTCATTAAAAATACATAGAAGATATCATACAGAAAGCATAGTGATAGCTAAGGATCGGAATGAAACAATTGCAAACGACTGACTGACCAACCCGTAGTGTTGATTGGCGGGCAAAAGAACCATTTGCTGTCTTGAACCTTTTACCTTTTAAAGTTGATTTCTGACAGATTTCGCATTTTGTTTTCCACAAATTGCAGCGCAGACGGGAACTGAAGAACACCAGGAATGCTTGGGCAAGGGCATGTAAGGAACTCAAGGAAGTGGAAATTGATAGCGACTTAGAGAGGGAAAGCTATTATTCAAGTGAAAGTGAGCAAGACATTGAAAATGACGATTATTCAGTTAGTTCTGATGGGTGGTCAGAGGTAGATGGCGTGGATAAAGAACATGAAGAAGACAGAGAACCTGATGAGGTGGTGAGGATACATGATGGTGAAAGGAAGATGGCTGAACAAGACGGAGGAAAAAAGGGTATAAAACCGAAGGCTAAGACTGTGCCGACGAAAAGACCCGGGCGCACCTGTCTATTGAGAGATAGCCAAGATGAAGATGAAGATATGAGAGAACCTGATGAGATGGTGAACAAATCTGACGATGAACTGAAGGGCAGTGGAGGAGACGGCGAAAAAAATTCCAAAACTCATAAGGCAAAAACTGTGCAGGGCAAAAGGCCGTTGCGCAAGTGTCCAATAAAAGGGTGTGAAGCAGAGGTGGTAGACCTCCCTTGACGCTTAAGGGGTGTTCATGGTTGGAGCAAAGAAATGTCAAGAAAGGCAACATCAAGATATGGGATGAGAAAAAGTTTCCTGCCAAAACCTGTTAAGAAGAAGTCCGAATCCGATGACAGCAAAAAGATACATAAAGACTATCACCGACACCGTTCATGTCCGATTGAGGGTTGCAAGTCAGTGGTGAAGCACTTGTCCGCTCATTTACGGCAAGTGCATAGGGACATCCCGGTAGGGTCACCTTTGTACAAAAAAACTTTGAAAGAAGCTGGTCCTACGAAAACGTGGATACCTTCGAAAAAAGCTAAATGTTCTCGTTCAGAGATGGATACATTGCACTCCCCTTCGGATCAGTCTGAAAAAGAGGTAGAGATGACAAATAACACTGGTCCTTCCGACGTACCGTCAAATAACGAAGAGCTAGAAATTATGGAATTGGCAGAAGATGTTGGTTTCTCAAATGAGGAACAAAAGCTCGATGTGATGTTCTCCTTTTGCAGTTGGTTGCAGTCTGCAGATGGCGGTAGAAAGGATCCTAAGCTATCCAAACATGCCTCCCAGTTGTCCCGTATTCTGGAAATAATTGACCCAACAAAGAACTTGAGGTCTTTGTTTAGAAAGAGTCTTCTTCGGGACATTTTTTTAAAGCATGCAGAAACGAAGTATACCGCTGATACCATTAAGGCGTATCTTCTCAGTTTGAGGCATTTCTGTTCGTACGTGACATCAGAGAAACCTGAGTGTGTAGATGTTGATCCTGCCCTTGTCAGCCAAATTGCAGAGAAAGCACGTCTTTGGTCCATGTCTTCCAAAAAGTATAACAAACGGAGGCATCTAGAGAAGATGAACAAGGACCTCAACAACCTAGTAACCCCTGATATGATCAATGAGTTTGAACGGAGTGAGTCGGCACGGAGCGTTGTCGGATACATAGAAAAACTCACTGGAGCGCATTCACTGGTTGTAAACCAAGCCGTGTACACTCTTATCAGAGATTTTCTACTCCTTGAAATTACCATTGCAAATGCACACCGATCTGGCGTGTTAGCTAATATGACAGTTGGCGAATTTAAGGCTGCAAAGGAAAAGCAGGATAGCATCGTCATAAGTGTCAAGAAGCACAAAACAGCGGACACTCACGGCCCAGCGCGCGTGGTGTTGTCGCCAACCCTATTTTCGTATTTACAAGTGTACTTCAACGAAGTGCGAAGCAGGGTGTTGGATTCCACCAGTAATGAGAATGAGAGTGACAAAGCTTACGTATTTTTATCTTGGAATGGGGCAAAGATGGAGTCTGGCCAAATCTGCACTGCTATAAATGCAGCATTGGGAAAAGGCGGAATGCAAGGGCACATCTCATCAACTTTGTTTCGCAAGTCTGCTGTCACGAATGTGCACGCGCGGCATAACGAGTTGAGATCAGATTTGGCCGACCTTATGGCGCATAAAGAGACCACCGCACAGATTTTATCGCCTTAAGGAAAAGGAAGAAGCATGTCTACAAGCTGCATCCAATCTTCCTCGCATTATGAGATTGTCTAACCAGAAAGAAATGGAGAACCAGCCTGAAGCAGCCGATGATGGTGCTTCAGCACAAGGAACGAAATTTGATGATGGTGCTTTTGCAAAGGGACAGTTGGCAGCTGTTAAGAACAAAAAGGCCATCCTGTTCAGAAAGGGTTTCATGAATTCGAGCGTAGCGGTATAGAGTGGAAAGAGGAAGAAAAGTGATTGCCTTAAATGAAAAGGTCCTTTGAACCAAAGAAATTGAATCGAAATCAAAGTGTATGGTGGCCATGGCAGCTGTTAAGAACAAGACTTTGGTAAAGCCATCCAAATTACCGCTTAAAATACTTAATTTGAATAAGTAACCACCATTTCGATCTCAGCCCGATTTTGAAAAAAAAAGGGGTTTACAGGTGGTAATATTAAGGGTACCTGGTTTAAAATTGAAATCCGGATTTGTTTTCAGCTCACCTGGGGCACTGATTTATAAGTAGTCGCCACGGTGATATGTTTTCTTAACGTTACAGTGATTGAGCACACGTTTACGGCAAACGGTTGGTCACATGGTGCAAATTTCCACATTGACCTAAAAGGTGATCCTTTTTCTTTCTAATGAATAAACGGTCTGGTAATCAGTTTACAATGTATTTTTACTTGAAATTACGAACAGATGGCCCTCGCGTGGTGCAAAAGTAGAAGACAAACGAAGATAAGATCACGAAAGATTTGTGAGAAATACAAACGCTCAAGAAAGGAAAACCTCGATTTCGTTGATTAAGGTCCCTTTTAAATAAACCACCGGAAAACAAATCTGGATGAATAGTTTATATACTGTCGTTACTACCATGATCATAAACCAACTTTCACTCACAAGCAGTAAGATTATAACAGTATTGTGTAGTTACATCACTTGAATATAGTTCGAGTACAACTTTCTTGTCTTTGGAGAACTAGGTAGCTAACAAAAAAATTCACATTTGCCTTTGGCCTCCAAAACGAAAAGTTTAATTTAAAGTGCTGCCGAAACGGTTACTACACATTTCGGTTTACAGACAACTCTTCCTAAGACAGACACCGCTAGGAATATATAATGACACCAAGTAACGGTCTTGGAGAGAGTAAAAATACATCACTAAAGAGAGACAGAGACCTTTTCTAGGTGTCCTTCTTAAAGAAGTTTCCGTCTCGTAGAGAGTCAAACGACATTACTAAACATTACCAGTGAAGCCAAGTATTTCTTTGTGACATACAACATTTTGCACTTGTATCACTCTCTGTTTGTGATCGGAAAACGCACCGGAAAATATCTCTAATGATGTAAGTTATTTTCGCTTTTAGTAGGATTTTAAACTAGTAAGTGATCTTAAGTTTTGAGTAGACTATATTCCGTTTCAGTGAGCACTTTAAAGGAAAATATCACTTAACGCTTTAGCGGGGTTGGCCAGGTAGTTTAAGGTGCCACGACAGCAACGGCAATGCAAACATTATTCAATCGCTGTATAGGTTTGGTAAGAAAAACGGGTTTTGGACTTGCGTCACATTTTTTGAAACATTTCTCGACCTTCACTACTCTGAACAAGGATGTGAAACTTCCTTACGCCAAAATTTCTGAAAGAGGAAAACACACGAAAGTCTTGTGTCTCCTTCGGAACGGAAATCGTGGTCCTAAATTTAACCCATGTGAATTCACCTACTTGTGATAAATTGAGTGTGTTGAAGTAATGGTGAGGAACTTTTAACAGAACACAGATTTCATTTAGAAAGGACGTTTCACTGCCGTGGCCGTAGTTGTATTTTTAACTTCCAAAGATAAAAGTGCAGTGTAGGCAGGAACTTTTTAAGATTAGCGAAAGAACTTTGTTTGCCAATTTGAAGTTAACGATTTGCAGTGATTGATTTTAAAACATAATCAAGGTAAAAGTCGCTCTGAGTTTATTTTTATTTATTTATTTATTTTCAATGTTTGCTGCTGACAGTTTTAGCATCAATGGCGAGTAGAATGTAAGAGATTTAGAATAAGCGTAAATTGTCGAATTCTGTTTAAACCTCATTTTGATTATGCATGTTTAATGGACTATTTTCAACTATAGAACATATAGAAACAAATCAATCAAACAGGAACTTCGTCAATAAGCATTCCAAACCGTTCTCGTTCTGAGGTTAGCACGAACATTGCAGTTTATATTTTAGAATACCTGTACCTGTGATTAAATACCAGTAAGCACGTGTCCCGTTATTTACTGTTTACTTATTAGTTTGCATTAATTATGAACGCATCACCTGACCTTCCCTTCAAAACATAATACAGTGCTACCAACTCAACCAGAGCCACGGGGGACACTTTAAAATTTAAAGAAAGTTTCGTTTTTGAAACAAAGTCAAACTCCTTTGTTATGAGCATGACCCATGTCTGGCCGATTTAAGATTGGTGGCTACTGTTGAGTTCGTTTACTTTGTAAAACAGTATGGGTCCTTTAGATAATGCCTTTGAAAATATATAACACCAGGCGCAGATTTTTGAACCTTCCGCGTCCGAAAAAGAAGTCCAAGAAGTGTCCGAAACGACTGTTACGTCAACCGAAGATTCCGTTACAAAAAATGCGAGTCCGAGATACGATTACCGTCAGTGATTGGTTTGTACTGCTTTGTACTTCAAACTGCAGATACTTCCTCTTTTTAAGACCCCCTGCAGATTTACCCGATATGGTCTAAAAATTGGGATTTGCCTCCAACTTCATATGTTCGAATTCTAGTTCTTTTAATTAAATTAAAAAAGCAGTTGCAAACATTTGCAAGAATCCCCTCTCAAATAAGCCCCCTGGAAAAGTCTAGATGATTCTGATGGTTAATTAGTTGCAAACATTTGCAAGAATCTGGAAAGTCTAAAAATAATGAAAACTGACTGCCATTGAACATGTTTAAGGCCCCCCTTTTGTTCTTACTGGCTCATAGCCAAACAAACTTTATGTCGCCATCCCTGTAAGAAAGAAAAGACTTTCCAAGCGCAAATAAGACCAACGGTATACCAAAGCGGCTCGAGGACTTCACTAGGTTTTTTCTTAGTCGCTTTTTATAAGTTAAAAATTATTTTTAAAGATGTATGCTGGAATCAAGGGAATGAAAATATACTATTAGTACAAGGTATAACATATATAACATATATATCAGCACCTGTTGTTTACGTTGCAAAAGTGCCCGTTGCAAAAATGCCCTACTGTGACGAAAGTGCCCTATGTCACGTTGCAAAAATGCCCTACTGTGACGAAAGTGCCCTATGTCATGTTGCAAAATGCCCTATGTTGCATAAGTGCCCCATGCAATGTTGCAAAAGTGCCCTAATGTTGCAAAAGTGCCCTATTTGATGTTGCAAAAGTGCCCTTCAATCTTTCTCTTTCTCTCTCTCTCTCAGCTACTTCCCCGCCACTTCTCTCCTCTCTTCCTTTTTTTTCTTAAGGACTCGACACAGAGGATTTCAGGCAAAGGCTTGGTGCCGGGCTAGAAACATCCTCATGCAGTTGTGCTTTACCCCTGTTGATTCACAACATTACAGGAACCTTGGTGTCGATGCATCCCTTTTTTGCCATACTAAAGTACTCCCATTCTCCTTCACACTCCATCTATTCTTCTTCTGCTTCCGTTTTTCCTTAAATAACAACAGGACAATTTTGTCAAACTTATGACGCTAATTAATAGTTAATAATTACGAATTACCACCCTAATGCTCTTATCCCCACCCTCTACTTCACTCCCTCATCTATTATCTTAACAGACTACTTTCTACTTATAGATAACAACCACTCTACACTCCACTTTTTACCATCACCATCTCCGCAACCCGCACATCAATCATCCAGCAACGACTTCAACTTTTTAATTCATTCAACAGCGACGCTTTTTATCCACTTTCTGTTTGGCCACAAGAGTTTACGTTAATTTTCTGGAAAAAAACCAATCAGTGACAAGGACACATTCAAACTGTTTTTATTTTTAATTGGCAATGGCTGTTCACCCCACCTGATTTCACATTGGATCCTCACATCACAACACTGGCCTACCAACAAAAAGCGAGAAGCGTTAACTCAAACTAGATTTCCTACTCAGCAACATGGACAACAAATCGCATATCTGGTTCTACTTGATTTACACTGTAAAGAATGGCTATACCTTAACGGACAAAAAAGATCGACTAACAATTAACAACTAACCATTTTAATTCTCTTTCGTTCAACTTTGTTTAAAATTACAAGTCATATTCCTTATATTAATGTCAACAAACACAAAGGTACGACTAACAACTAACCATTTAAATTTGAATTACATTTTTTAGAACTTCAAGTTATATTCCTTATAATGGTTTCATTGTGAAGGTTCTTATCTTGTACATTTCTTTCACCCCCCCTTTTTTTGTAATTTGTATTTCTGTTACACCTTATATTTTATTCCTCAAAAAATTATTTATGGGTTATCTTCAGAGCCATACTTTTACTAATTTAAATTTTTATGGTAACTTAGCATTTTCCTTTACTTAATTCTAATTTTATATGTAATCTGATATCTCGGATTTTATTCTAAAGTACTATCCAATCTTTAAAAAATTATTTCACAATTTTCACAACTTTGCAGATGTCACTATAGTTACTAGAGAAACTACTGGGTCATTTACTAACTTTTATAAAAAGAAAAAATCTTCAGAGTCAGTAATTCTTTGATTTTTTAAGAACGAATATATTTCACTGTCATTTTAATTGTATCAGTGATTCGATAAGTTTTTAAGAACGACTATATATCAATTATTATGAGAAGTTCAAATAGTATTTTTACTGTATCAGTTAACAAGACATCTGACTTATAACTTATTTTCACTAAAGAAGCAAATTAAGGTTTTCGTTTTTTTTTACAAACAACTTTCATTTTACTTATTATTTTTTGAAGAGAAATTACGCATTAAATTTATTCAAGTAATTCCTTTGATT